CTGTGGTGGCTGTGAACATCAGGTGCTCGAATGGCTCGAAATTTAGTGTGATGACGAGTCTCGATTCGACGGTTGAGTCTTTCAAAGAGTTGGTGGCGGAGAAGAGCGACGTGCCAGCTAATCAGCAGCGATTGATTTATAAGGGTCGGATCCTTAAGGACGATCAGTCGCTCCTCAGCTATGGTACTTGTGTTAATGTTTTTTTTTTTTTTTTAATTCGATTTTGGGATTTCTGTTCTTCTTTGGATTTGATTGATTGCAAATCTCATAGGGTCTTTTTTTCTTTGTTGGAAAAGATTAAAATTAGATTTATGTAAGATTTTTGTGTGGGGAAGGTATTTTTTGGATGAATTATGTTTCTCTTGCCTTATGAATTGTGATAGATGTCTCAATCTTGATATGGGAAGAATGTTGTTAATGGAAGTGTTAATTTTTACAAGAAATGATCCATATATGTTTAGCTAGATACGATGTTGTGTTTATATTATGTTTGATAACTATTACATCATTGGAGAGTGAAATGAATTTCATGCTCTGATCTAATTTTCTTGAATAGTTTTCCAAGTTCTGTCTCATGAGCCTTACTGTTTTTTTATTCTCTGTGGACTATACCTAGGTTTGCAGGCTGATCACACCGTTCATATGGTTCGAGGCTCCGCGCTTTCTTCAGCACCTCCTTCTGCTCCGGCTGCAAATGCTGGAACCACACCTAATGTTACTCGAGGGATTGGTTCAAATGATAGCACAAATCTAGGAGGAGCGACTCCAGGGGAATCTTTGTTCCCTGGGCTTGGTTTTAATCCTTTAGGTGGCGGGAATGCTATGTCTGGGTTATTTGGAGCTGGTCTTCCGAATCTTGAGCAGGCGCAGCAACAGCTAGCGCAGAACCCTAATATGATTAGAGATATGATGAATACACCAGCCGTTCAGAATTTAATGAATAACCCAGAATTTATGAGGAGTATGATTATGAGTAACCCTCAAATGCGTGAGCTTGTAGATCGCAATCCTGAGCTAGGTCATGTGCTCAATGACCCGAGCATTCTTCGGCAAACTTTAGAAGCTGCGAGAAACCCAGAGCTTATGCGTGAAATGATGCGGAATACTGATAGAGCCATGAGTAATATTGAATCTATGCCTGAGGGATTTAACCATCTTAGGCGTATGTATGAAAATGTCCAGGAACCATTCTTGAATGCTACTACTATGTCGGGGAATGCTGGAAGCAATACGGGTTCTAATCCTTTTGCTGCCCTCCTGGGAAACCAGGGGGTTACTCCACAAGGTAGCGATGCTTCTAACAATTCTTCGACACCGACTGCTGAAACAGGGGCAGGGAATAGTATTCCGAATGCAAATCCACTTCCTAATCCTTGGGGTGCGACTGGTGGTAAGAAACTTCATTCTCATCCTCTTAATTGCATGTGGGATTTTACTTGTCTTTTGAAGGATGCAGTAATATTTTATAACAGTAAGAGTGGCTTGATTATTAGAAGTGGAAGTTTATGGTTATTAGAAGTGGAAGCTTATGTGTACCACACTGGTTCAGGAACAATATTGTGTATAATAAATTAGTGATTTCATGTAGTTTTCACAATTTGTTGTTACAAGTAGCTTGTGAATGAATAAGTTGCTTGGCTACTAGTTGGAATTTATCTTTTACTCGTAATGCAACAAACATTATTGAACATATTTTGGGGATTCTTGACAGGCCAGACAACTGCCCCTGGAAGGACAAATTCCGGTGGGGGTACGAGAGGCCCTGGA